GGCTGGTTTCAAACCATGGTTCCATTATTCGACAAATATTGATCTAACATCTCCCATGTACCAGGTACTGTTTATTCCATGTGTTGTAGACACTGCACTAAACTAAATGGATGACAATCAGTGCCCTCATGGAATCTGTATTTAACAGTGTAGATAGAGAATAAAATAAGTCAGTAGAGTATATATTGTACTAACAGGTGATAAATTCTAGGGAAAGAAATAAAATAGGGAGTGGAGACAGGAAGTCCTGTGGATGGGAATATTCACAAATATTGTGGATATTGGGCCCCAGATATTGTTTGACTTCCTTCCTTGGGTTTTGGCCCAAATATAAACACAAACCTTTCCCCTCTCCTTTGGAAAGCTGAGATGTATGGTGACTTTAAAATCACTGCATATTACTGAAGTTACTGAATACTAAATGACTAAATATGAAGGGAAACTCAAGTGGAAATACATGAGCACACATGAGAAGTGTAAACGTTGGCTCCCGGGACTCAGAGCCTGTCTCATTTCACATGGTGCCTCCTAAGAGCTTTTTTCTTTGAACCCAAAGGGCTTAAATAATTCTAAAGACTCTTACTGCAGATTCCTCACTTCCTGTCTCCTGACCTGCTTCCATATGGAGGATGCCCCTCACGGTCCCACACTCAGGAGGCTCATCTTTGACATGAGCCATCTCATCTCATTTGACATCTTGTTTGACTGCTCCATCTAAATTATGGTTGGTTTCCAGTCTGAGAAGAACCTCACTTCCCTACGTGACAAGCATAGTGAATGATCTCATCTACCCTTCTATGGCAGAAGTGTGGCTTTGCCCTTGAAAGTTGTGGCAGAGGCTGGGCACAGTGGGTCATACCTGAAATCCCAGCATCTTGGGACGCCAAGAAGCGGGGATTGCTTAAGCCCAGGAGTTTGAGACCAGGCTGGGCAACATAGCAAGACCCATTGTCATTAAAAAAAAAAAAAAAAAAGAAAGCTGTGACAGAGATACCAACAGCTCACTGAATATACAAGTGCTCCCCCTCTTTTCTCAGAGCCCTTGAAATGTGGTAGGGTCTGTGTCAACTCCAGGCTGAAGCATCTGAGGCAATAAGCATCTTTCTAGTTCTCTCTTGCACAGAGACTACAAGCCACATGTTCTGGTTAGTATGGCAGCAAGAAGTAACCAGCCTGGATCCTTGAATCACTGCATGGAAGAGAACTGCCCTGCAGAGCCACCAGACTCATGCTACAATTTGTGTGAGCAACAAATACACTTGTATAGGTTAATCCACTAATATTTGGGAGTGTATTTCTTACCTTATAGCCTAACCTAAGCTGACTAATACCAGGCCTAATAGTAAAGTGAGATCGTAGCTTAACATACTGCAAAGCATTTCTGTAGCAACTGACATGCAGTGACAAAACTTTGTCTTTACACTGTGGAAGCAGCGTAGGGTAGCTATTAGGATTATAAGCTTCGTGTTAGACAGACCTGGGTTTGAATCTTGCAAGTGCACCTTACCAACTAGCTGTGTGACATTAGTTACTTTTCTTAGCCTCTCTGAACCTATTTTTATATCCCCAAATCACAAGGTAGCTTGAAGGATTAATTGAGGTATCTAGCAAAGTCTGGTACACAGCAAACCTTTAGGAAATGGTAGTGGTTATGATATTAAGGAGTTAAGATATTTATGCAGAGTGGATTTGACAAGGTGCTTCCTGAGTAGTTGGAACATAAATATCTACTGTAGTTAACTCTGTGTGTTAGGGTACACGGGAGAGATCACCCTGTTGCCACTGCTTGGACCCTTCCAGGCAGCCAAACTTTCTAATATGTACGTGAAATTAGATAGAAGGGAGAATTTGTTATTTGCATGACAAAAAGAGTATTTCTTCTTACAAGTAAAGAGAATTTGGGTGACTTAAATATAAATAAAATTAAAAGTTGACCCAAGAGAAATCATGTTTAATACTCTAAAAATAAGTTTCTTATAGTTGGAGGGCTTGAATTCCAGCAGAATTGCAAAAGACCAGAGCATAATAATTGAGTCTGCTTTGAATATATCACATATACAAAGTTAAGGAGCAATTTAATCAGCATTGAAAAATTTCAGAAGTTGGACAAAATTAGAGCAATGATAATCCTGATAGGTGATGGAATGATTTCCTGGCAGGATAACATCAAGATCATGAGCACTGCCAGCATCATCTATCTGAAAAAATGATAATGAGGCCTTAAGGAAAGGGTGTGGAATTGGCTCATGTCAGAAATGACGGAGCAGAGATGCCCAGATCACTGAAAGGAGCATTATGAGGAACAGAGACCTGCTTTCCATCCGAGTGAGTCATTGTCTTGTCCAAGCTGCACAAAGGCAAGACTCAGAAGCCCCTTCCAGGACAGTGAGTCCATTTCCAGCCCAACATTCTGCCAGAGCAAGTGACTTTCCAAGTCCATTTACAGGGCAGTGATAAAATTAGATTATTGGCTATGAATATTATACACTTGTGAACGCCTGCATCATTACAGCACAATTCCATTTAGATGTGGAGATGAGACAATCTTTCCGCATAGAGAAACCCTCTCTCGGGAGCCACTATTGACAACAAAGCTCTATTATCTGATATTTTCTTTAATAAGAAAGATTAAATAGAGTTCCATCTAGTTTTACTATTCAGGAATTTAATATCTTTGGAAGGTATTAAGCCGTGTGTGCTATGTAAGGCAATGTCTTTTGAGTAGAAGGAATTGGGTATTCACATATTGGTGTGCATTCCTCTTTCTCCACTGACTGCACTGTGATAAGGAAAAGAGCATTTGCTATGCTTCTGCCACACTTTTAAAGTTTTTAATCCAGCAAATTACCACATCAGCAGCCTCTCTTCTCTATCAGAAAAGCCCACTTTTAGGCCCCTCACAAGTAATCAGGCAGAATGACCACAAAGCACTTCTGGATTAAGTGAGATTTTAAATTTACCGGTGTTATTACAGGCTGCATTGTGTTTAGATGCTTCTGAAAAGTGCTTTGTGTTCAGACACCACCATCTGAAGCAATGCAAACTTTCGCACACCTGGCTTAGGTGGCGGCAGGCCACGTTGGGACTTCTTAAACCTGAATGTGATGACAGGTGGTCTGGGGATCTTGTTAAAATGACTCAGCAGATCTGGGGCACAGCCCGAGACTCTGCATTTCTAATAGGCTTCCAGTGATGCTGCTGCTATTGCTGCCTCTTGGGACACATTTTGGGCAGCCAGGTCCCGTATGAACCTCTCCCATGTTAATGCAGAACTGTGGAACGGTGGGAGGAATGGAGGAGAGATGAGACCAGATACATCCTGGACTCATCACTCAACCTCTCTGAACTTTGGATTCCCCATTTATAAAGTAGAATGAATAATTACAAAACTTACCTTACTTACCTTTCACAAAGCAGCTGTGAAAACAGCTAGAGTTTCAACAAATAGCAGTATGATGCCATCACCATAGACAATCCCCATACTCTTTCTCTCCTAAAATGATGGGATCAGCTCCTAGGACCTTTCTGGCATGCATGTGATAATGTGATGTTCTCCTCTGAATCATCTTTCAATGTTTCTTTGGAACATTGTGGAGAAAAAGTCAGTTCTCATCATTGTCTTCCATGCTTCTTGGTGCTAAATTCTACTCAGTGTGACAGTCCCTTCATCTAGGTTTCTCAATCCCCAACTTGAAATTCTGCTTAAGATCCCTTAGTGGATATAGTTTAGGAAAATAGAGCTAATTCTTGGCAAAGCTATTTTTTAATGCAACACAGTTATAATTACCATTGGGAAGCAGAAGCATTATGGAATGCTGATTTGATTTGCATAAAAATACAGTGCAATTCAGCCCAAGTGGCAATTAATAAGTTATGAGGGAAGAAAGGAGACAGAACAGTAAATCATTTTTATGCTTTAAGTTAAATGTTTCAGTCCTGAATCTGGGAAGTATTGTACAGCGATTTAGCTTGTTAAATCTAGTATGAAAAGCCTAGCTTAGCCTTTAACTAGGGATAAGAGTGAAAAGTATTCATGTTGAAGTTCTTCTCAAACAATAAAACAGAGATAATATTAGTGCATGGCCCTTAGCATTTTTCAGAAAGTATGTGTAGATTAATTCTAATAGACTCCTTGGAAGTCATCATATTTTTCTGGAAACATCCATGAATTTAGGTAGAATGTAACTTTAGTAAAGTGATTCTCTCTGACTCTTTTCTGTGAGTAGAGAGATCTAAAAACCCATGCATTAGGGAAAATTTTCTATTCTTGGTTAATCTTGGAAAATGCAAAAAGGCATAAGCATCCAGAGAAGAGCAGGAAGTGAAGGAAATATTGATTGATGGAGCCTGGCTGTCCAAAGCAGCCCACTCCTCAGGGAGTTCCTGTGCTTCCAGGAATTAGTTTTCCTACAGTCAGAGGATGGTAGTGGAGAAAGACTTATTGGTCTGTGAGTAACAGAAATTAAGCTAGGCCAGTTTTGTTGTAAAAAGGGCCCCTTTAACTGGACACTTCTGTTGTCTTTGTTGTTGTTATTATTTTTCCTATTATTCTGGTTCCAGATGGAATAAAAACTTTCCTAAGAATTACCAAACAGCCAGTTGTAATGTTCTACCCAACTTTTCCCATTACCTAAATGTAGCATGGGTGCATGAATAAATACTGCCAGACTCATTACTATTTTCTACAAGAACAAAACTTACCAAGTTATGAGTGAATATGATAAAAGAAACTTTACCAAATGAAATATAGAACATTTGACACACAATTTAGGATTTAAATATTTCCATTCCTAACGTCAAATTCTGTACTCCTTATCATGACGGGGTCCAATTTGAGTTGAGATTCTACTTTCGGAAAATGTCTTCTTAATCTTCTCTCCTTATCAGAATATTTTAAAAAAGAGAACTTTAAAAAATCTTGAAAGTTATTGGATGGTGGCATGTCACCAACTTCTTTAACTAGAACAGTGCTAATATAATAAAAGCCATCAGGTGTGGGATATTTTATGAAAATGTTTAATTCAACTGTTTCTTTGGAATGTAGTAGTCATAGTTTGGAATTTAAGTTACAGTTCAGTTCTATGTGGTTTTTATGCTACTCAGTGTCTGAGAATACAAATGTCATTTAAAGTTAAGGCTTCGCTGTTCATTTTGAAACAACAATTTACAAGTGTCATATTGTCATAGAAAATAATAATTTCTGTAAAAAAAATCTGCACAAAATCTTATGATGGTACAAAACATGAAGCAATAATATACCAGTAAAATGAAAACATTTTACTACAGAAAGTTTTATAGATTTCCATAAAGAAAAAATATGTTATTTTACACCTTTAAAAATTACAAAACAATCTAAAACAATATAAACTGAACATTTTGTAACACTGCCTTTACAAATTAATAACTTTATAAACATATAATTTTTAAATATATTTATCAGTGCAAGATACTTTAAATTTTAAAGTTGCAGTATCATTTTTCCTTGGCTGAGGACAACTTTAAGTCTGTTGCCTTTAAAAGCAAAAAACAAGTCTTTCTTAGTGCTTTCCTTCTGGTAGGATTATATCAACTAAATGAATGCCTCTGGGGACAAAAAACTATTCTTCTTTCATGGTGATCAATACTTTCCTGGAAACAAAAGGCATTCTCAATTCAATTTAACTAAGATGAATGGACTGTCTCATCTATGATGCAAATGTGACTCCCAACAAATGTCTTTGAGTGAGACGTCTAGCAAAGCGGGAAGGGAGGAAGATCTAAAAAATCTCATGTCCAACATGGCATGATAAAAATGCACCAAAAACCACCAAAGCTTCTTTGGGTTAATTCATAGGCTGCCTGGTAAGATATTTGCTTCCCTGTGCTGTTAGAGGCTTAGGTATTGCCAGCCCTAAGGCAGGCTTATTTTTTGCAAGCTGCTGGAAATTTCTAGAAGCATTCATTTAAGTTTATTTTTTCAAGGTTGCTGTTATGAACTTTGTAAACCATTTGTTTTGACTTTATGTTTTCCCCCCTCTTATCTTAAAATACTTGACGCCCAGGCATCAGGATTTATAGTTTAATTCTTAAATTAACTGTTATTCCTTCCAATTCCCTTGTCTGACTCAGAAGCAAAACAAGAAGGTTCTCTTGGGTCATTTTTGCATATTTGGATAGAAAAATCTCATGCTTTTGGATATTTGGAAGATTTTATCCAGTTCTTCCTTTGGGTCTCACTTGAAAGCCAATTTGTATTATTTCTTTCCTCAACTTACCACTATTTCTACTAAATGCCAACATTTCTATCAGAGGTCGTTTTGAACAGAATAGATAAGGAAAAAAGATACTGTCACTTTAACCAGTTAACAAGAAAACCAAAGTTAGACTTTGGAGGGCAAAGTTAGGAATTTCCCTTATTTATTTATTTTTAAACATAAAGTCTAGTAAAATCGTTTGCCATTCCCAGCAGGTTAAAGCTGCAAGTTTCTTTTCTGGACAACGGCAAATCCTCCAATTTTAAGAGAGAAAAAAAGACAGAGAGATAGGAGAGAGAAAGAGAAAAGAGTTTACATTTGAAAATACATTCCATATGAAAGAACAACAAGAGAGAATATTGCAGCTTTATACAAAAGGGTCAAGAGACATGAAATTGAACTACAGAAAAAGCAGAACAATTAAGCCACGTTGCCAAATCTTCAGAGCCCTTGCCTGCCCGGAGGGGCTGACGTCTCACACGAAAATAAACTTTCTTCTTAGTCAGTGGGCCACCACGGTTTGATTAAAGAGTAGGGCTTTCACCAGCAAGAAAGAGAGTGGGTCGTTAATGTAACACAATGAACCAGTACAAACAAAAAGGCACTTGAGAGGACATAGACTAGCCAGTGCCAAGGATTTGTGTTTTTGTTGTTGCAGTTGTCAGCAGTACACCCAGTGGCCAGCCGTGTTCAGGGATGGCACTGTTTTCTGTATGGAGTTCACAAGCACGAGGTTTAGTACAACACTGGAAAAACAGCAAGAAAATCGGACAGTATTGCTTCGTAAACAGGGCTGATGCACTATACTGGTACTGAGGCTACAGTACTTTAAAAAGAAAACAGCCTAATCCTTCTTTGCCTATGCACGACGCGGGCAATTATACACAAGTACAACTTCAGGAGTCCACTGATACGCGGTGATTCTAGTATATTCTGGGCACTGGGTTTCAGGTAGCATGTCCATCCAAAGGGCCACACGGAATACGCTTGGTGCCAGCATCTTGGATTTCGCACAGTTTCCAAAAAGAATCCATAAAAGGGAGAGGAGGCTGGGGGGGCAGGAGGGGTCGAAATGAATGATTAAGTCAACCATACTTGGTCTCAACACCAGCATCTGATTATTCAAATGAAACCAACAGGAAAAAAGCTGACTGTACATGAGTCCGATGGTGAACACAGCTCCTTGTCCATGTCTGTCGGCCATACTCATTGAAGCTCCTGAGAAAAGCCTGGCTCAGTGGTCATCAACACACTTCCCAGCCTGTATAGTGAAAGATCAATAGCTCCCCAGCTCACTCCCGTCCTTCCACTTCTGTCCTCTGACTGTCTTTTCATCACTGTCCGCCTTCATGCCTCCGAATAAGTACTCTGTGTATTCAGTTTGTCTTTTTTCAACTTCACACCATCCACAAGTTCAAAGTTATAGTTCTCCAGGGCAGACAAGTTTCTTTCTGACATCCCATTATGCCAACAGGCACAGTACAGCACAACCCCACACACAGCCCCCAGGAGGACCCCCAGGGCGCTCATGGCTATGATGGTGATGAGGATGGGGTCTAAGGTCTTCAACACATTGCCTGGCTTCCTGGAGATGTTCTTGTCACCTTCTCCTTCACCTTCATATCCTGGTGTGCTCCCTATGGAAAATAACAATATTGTCTCCGTGAGCACTGCCAACGGACCAGATGAAGGCAGACAGAAAAATAGAAAGAAACGAAACAGGAGCAAATTGCACACCCCAGTTTTGCCTGTCACTTCTATTCCCTGACTCATTGTTGGGAATAGAAGTGTGGGAGGTGGTAGTGGGGAGTGGGAGGTGGTAGTGGGGAGTGGGTGCTGGGGCTTCTGCCAGACTGCTTAGCACGTGGAAACAACCTGTTCTGGATAAACTGGGAGGTTCCATGCTCATCTAATTCAGATTTCATGCTGCCCCATCTGTCCTAGATTGTAATCTGTGTTTACAGTCCTTGGCTAGATATGTGGTCATTAAGTTTTGCAAAATGCTTAGTCACACATTAGTCTAGCAAGGGGATTTTACCATTCCCAGTGCGTGTACCTAATCCCAAAACAGGCACGAGAAAAACCTTCATGGCCGCCCTTCTACGTGGTGCTGCTTCCAGGATCTGGCATGGTTTGTGCATGTGTTTGTTCTCCCATATGGGAAATCTTTAAGTCAAACAAATTTTGCCCAAAGTCTACAGTAGTTTCAGTAAAGAAGGAGTGATTTTTTTAGAACAAGAGAATGCTTGCTGCTGACATGTAAACAGAGTGTGGCTCAAATCGAGAAAACGGTGTCTGTCATGCCGAATGGAAGACATTTACTAATAATCAGCATCTTTGCAGCCCTGGTAGTTTAACCGGAGACAGTTGCACTGCTCTGCAGCTCAGTCACTGGGGACTTGTTTTCTTTAGAGTGGAATGGGAGAAATTGTTAACATGGCAGCTTTCAGCCTAATTACCTGGTACTAGAAACGGGATAAAAATGTTAACGCACAATGTGCCTGGGGTTTACTTAATGGTGTTCTGATCAACAAAGATTCCAATCAAAGAAAACTAAAAATATGAGATGCAAGTCCCTAACCAAGAGAAAACAAGCCTTGGGACATATTAATATTCTCTCCCTTGATGAAATATTGTTTTGAAACAACCTCTAATAAAGTTTATATCTCTGTGTGGACTTGGTAATGTGTTCGTATTACTAACAGCATGGTGCCATATTTATTTGTCTCTGTGAAGTCCACGACTGGACATAGAGTAGGATCCCATCTCTAACGGCAACACATGCTGATGTGCATTGATGATCAGGGTGTAGCACTACCCACAGCAGCTGTCAGTGATGCTGGGGCAAGTGTCCAACAGCCCACAATGCTGGCTGGGAGATGTGGAAACTTCTAGGAATAGAGTTATATCAGGCAAGGCCTAACTCTGATCAAAGGTCTTGCATTTGATCACCAAGCAGCGTTCAACAAAAACACACATTTATAGTTCATCAGGCTAAAGTGTGAGGCTGCCACCCAATTATCTATGCTACTTAAGTTTCAGTCTCTATCTGTAGAATGGGGATAAATACAACCCCTAGAGCTGCTGTGAAGATTAAATAAGGTAAGGTATGTAGGATGGGTGCAGTGGCTCATGCCTGTAATCCCAGCACTTTGGGAGGCTGAGGTCAGGGAATCGCTTAAACTAAGGAATTCGAGACCAGCCTGGGCAACATGGTCAAAATCCATCTTAGAAAAGACACAAAAATAAGTTGGGCATGGTGGTGTGGGCCTGTAGTCTGCTTGGAAGGTTGAGGTAGGAAAAATTGCTTGAACCTGAAAGGTGGAGGCTGCAGTGAGCTGAGATCACACCACTGCACTCCAAGCCTGGGTGACAGAGACAGACTCTGTCTCAAGAAAAAAAGAAAAGAAAAGAAAAAGATCAGGTATGTAAAGTGCTCAGCACATACTAGCTCTTCAATAAATCCTTCTTATCATCATCATCATCATCACAAAACCAAGGTTCCAGTAGAGGAAGATGGGAAAAGATGAATCAAACACAATGGATTATCTCAGAAATTGGGCCCTGGTCTCTTAAAGATCCTAGTTGGATATCAACTAGAGACAATAATTTTGGTTGGTTTCATATAACCGTGTATGGAAATAGTCTTCACTAGTTTTCTGTCTTTGTAGTGATAAACTCAGTGTGTTTGAGCTGATTATCCTTTATGTTCCACCTCTAGACTGGGCAAGGAAGGGCCAGGGTGAGCACACTTCCCAGGCTCAACC